GCAATTTTTTTTAAATATATATCTGCATCAGTACTGTGTGTCTTTTCTTTCAAAAATTATGATTGTATATTTTCCATCCAGGGTATCTAAACCAGATTTGATGATGGTAATGTCCACTACAACGTTTCCCAAACTTTTACGTTTGGCGGACCGGTGGACATGTTTTGATATTGCATCAGGGACCGGTGCCAGTCCGCGTACCACCCAATTGGGGAAACACTGAACTACTGTACATAATTAAAAAGATTTCAACAAAGTGTATGACTAGTAATAATGGTAGTGTAATCTACCAACGTATAGCGAAGATATATAATATAACTATTATACATTGTTGTCCACAACATAAGCATAACGGTCCTACTAGGATTTACACGGCTGAGACATAGTTTTAATGGCATTGCCCACTTCCCAAATGAACAGGTAGATTATATAAATAGTAAGATTGAATTGCTCAATTTACAGCTTGGTTAACAACTTGAATACCGTACTTCAACGTGTACTGGCGAAATTTTATGTGACAGGGATATAGAATATTATCTACGTTTTCCGATGAAGTTAATTTTTGAAATATTTTGTGTGTGTGTGTGGTCACAATGCAAATTATTCGTGAAAAAATGGTTGTGTCCACAAAGTCATTTTGTTATTTAACCTCGTATCAAGAGTAGCTCATCTGATAAGAAAAAAAAACACAGGGATATGTATACTTTTCGCAGATTTAAATTAAGTCGCAGTTGAACTGTATATACAGAAAAACCTTGAGAGTTAAGACCTGTGGCCCAGATCAAGGTTCAATGGGAAGCAGGACTTTTAAATCAGTCGAGTCATCGTCACGACCCGCTGGCCAAAATATTTTACGTTTTGAACAACAAAAGAAAAAATTTAATTTTAAAAAAAAAAAAAAAAAAATTTGACAAGAAAAAAAGGAAAAATGGAGCGTCGGTTGAGTGTATATTTTAATTTTATCCATCCGTTCTGAAGTCCATTTCAAAGCAAAAGTTATCGCTGAAGTAGCACACCGGTGGAAAATAGTCGTGGCTGACCAATCGAAAAAGGAAACTTACAACAACAACAAATAAATAAGTTATGGGGCGATGATTTTTGTTTGTTTGTTGAAGTACAAAGAGAACCCTTCAGAATTAAGACCTGTGGCCCAGATCAAGGTTCAATCATCAATGTGAAGCCCCACTTGTAAAAGTCTAGTCCTTGTCACAACACGCTGGCCTACTTATTCTACGTTGTGCGCGGCAACAGAAGTACATCAAAGATATCTTTGACCCACTTTCCAAAAAGAAAGGAAGGACAAAAAAAAAAAAAAAAATTTTTTTTAAAATGTAGAAAGGTAGAGTTGGTTGAGTGTACATTTTATCTATTCATTCTCAGGTCTATTTCAGTGCAAAAGCTATCACTGAAGTAGCATCCCGGTGAAAAGACTCGATGCTGACCAATCCAAAAAGGGAAAGTTTCAACAACACCAAAAACAACAACACATAAATAACTTATCGGGAAATGATTTTTTTTTTATCAAATGCCAAGGCTTTGAAACAAGTGAGATGAAGAAATATTTTTTTGACCAAGCTAGATATATTTGACTTTTAAAAAATTATTATTCATAGATTAAGAATTTCTCTTGGATTTTGCAGGAACCATTTTTTTTTTTTTGGTCGGTGGCTTCCACGTTTGAGCCGCTTTCTCAAAACTAAAAAGTTATAGAGAACTGTTGTGCGTTCTGCTAAGTCTACCTGGTGGTGGGTCTTCATCAAATGAAACTAATTTGAAGGATGTTGAATTTCGACTCGGAAAAATCTCAGTACAAGTGAGCAGCTTTAATAACTAGGAAAATAAAGTTACATTTAAATGTAAAAATCATAAGGGTGTTATTAAAATGGCTTTTTTTTTTTTTGTTGCAGTTCTTAAATGCAGCCTCCTCAAGTTCTATTTTTGATTAGCATACTTTTTTGTTGTCTCGACACACCTAATGAATTTTAAGAACATTATTTTCTAATTTTAATGCGCTTAAACTCATCTTCGAAGGAAAGTCATTATTTTTTAAAGTTTCTTTCTTATAAAAAAATGTCTTTCTTATACATCTTTAAGACTTGAACAGAAAAAAAAAACACTTTACAATTGATTCGGTACATTCTGATGAAACGTCGTGAGTCTATGAGAATATACTTGGATATTTTAATTAAAAAATTGTTGCTCATTGCTGGCAAAATCTTCGGACGACCAACTGACCCACTTGTCGTCAACATATCGAGCTGAAACTTGGCAAATTTCCTCGTTGCCGATGACAAAATATTCTCTCACATTTTCGGCTCTACCGAATCCCGGCAATCAGTTTTCTCCTGTTTTTCAAGGAGAAGATAATGTGGGTTACCGTATAAGAATAGTAATATAGTTCAGGGGCGTGAAAAAAAATTTCTGTTACTAGCCATGGAAAGTGGGGTGGGGTGGGGCCAATTGGGATTATTTTAAAATGCGTTACTTTTATGCATATTTTTCTAATTTTGTCTAATTTTCGGCCGTTACCCCTGTTACGAACTGCCTTCTATTGTGAGAAACGAATCTCTTATTTTAAGTTCAAGGCTCGTTCTAAACAGTAGCTAAAACAAAGGACGATGCCCTAGAGAAATACAATAGCAAAAATACGACACTCAAAACACAGTACTAATTACAGTGAATAAGATTTATTTAAGTAGTGATATAATTACAAAACAAAAGAAATATATTTACAAATCATCAACTGACCGAGTATGGGATGTGTCTTGTACCGGTACACAGTTAGTACAATGTGCCAATTACTAATGTACAATGACGAATGCCTATAAACACATGAGTACACACAGAATTATACACTTGTCTCGTGAAGTGAAAAATATCTATCTATGGTCTCCGTCCGTCTTTCAATTCCCCGGCTTTTTATATATGGGTATCGGCTGTTTCTAAGAAGATTCGGAGGCAGAATATTCATTGTAGTCGTGACTTGAATCTTCTACAAATTTCCATAATTTACTAAAACTTTGAACCACATTCGAGTCAAGACAAACAGGCGATAGATTGTTTTGTGGTAAAAAAAAGATCAAAAGAAATAAGCCACGCCCAATACGAACGCAGTATAATTTGGGGTCAAATTGAGTTCATGGAACGGGGAAAGTGTGACGTAAACACGTCCTACATAACTCCCCCAATAGGTCGAAATTACATTTTATAAAAGATTTATATGAAAAATCTTTGTTTTCAGGGGAATTTCATTTCTCGATTGCGATACTTTTAAAATGCTTAACAAAGTTTTGACTAAAGAAGTGAAGGATATTGTTCATTTGACGGTGTAGAGAAAAAGGGGATGGTGTACCATGACTAAATTCTGCCAGGGACGAACTTCCAGAAACGCCCCTCTTGTAGAGACAGATTTATGTTATACTAGGCCTCTACATAATATATATATATATTTATTTTTTGTTGCTACAATGTCCGTCACAATGTTGTGAACTTCGCAGGACGAAATCCACAAGGCCTGGGATTATTCTTCTAGGATTTATAAGCTGGCTCCCAACAGCAAATCGCCTCTCTCCACGCCACTGGATAAACCAAAGTGAACATCACGTGGATGATACAGCTTGGCAGCAGTGGCGTCGCAGGAGTTGTCGGAATGTTTTCATTTTACCGATGTTATCCGCCTTACGGGACTCCATCGACATTTTCTCCATTTGAATTCATTCAGAGTTTCTTTCTCTTAGACTTAGTTGAGTTGCTATCCAAGGTTAACGAGTCCACCCCCCCCCTCCACCCAACTCCCCAAAATAAAAAAAAAACAATAAACAAACCAACAAGCAAACAAAAACACACGCCAAACTGACAAACTTTCCAAAAAAAAAACAACAAAAAAAGCGACACCTGTGACAATAGTAATGAAAAGCCTTGAACGTTTTATAAAATAGATATAAAAATTTATTAGCAAAAAAATAAAAATAATGACATAATGATTGAGATTGCAATTAATATTTTAAATAAAAACAAAGGAGTGTATAAATAAGAATACTGTATTTAAAAAAACATGCGTCATTTTGTAAATATAATCCATACTCGAGATTTATAAATAATATTATGACAAAAATGCATATTACATATTTTAAAGTCATAAACACAAAAATTCAAAAATTTCAAAAATAAAATAATATATATGTATATATAAATGAGGTATAAAAAATGTATTCATTGTCATTTATTTAATATAATATAATGATTAATAAGTGCTCTTTTTCTCCGGGACATTAATTCTTTTATTATTCACAAAACGTATAGTCGTGAAGTCAAAAATTCAAATACATATATTTCTTGATGCAACTATTGCAACATAAAGTTTTTTTTACAGCTTTGCATTGATTAAGTATTAAGTATCTGTTCTTTGCTAATTTTTCACTCTGAAAAACAAAATGTTCAACACCGTCTCGGTGACCGTGTTTTGGTCGCCCGTGCATTCGCCTTCGTGAGCCAGGGTTATCATCTTGTCGGACGGCAAGTCACAGTTCTGGGAATTCAGGCCGCAGACGTTGGTGTAGGTTTTAGCGTCACTCCCGCAAACAGGGGCGTGCTCCAGGGTGCAGCCGCGGTGACACGCCTCATTCGGCCCCCCGGCGCCCCCGGGCCCGCCAACAGCCCCCGGCCCCCCGCAACCCCCCCGCCCCCCCGCCCCCCCCCCCCCCCCCCCCCCCCCCCCCCCCCCCCCCCACGTTGGTGTAGGTTTTAGCGTCACTCCCGCAAACAGGGGCGTGCTCCAGGGTGCAGCCGCGGTGACACGCCTCATTCGGCCCCCCGGCGCCCCCGGGCCCGCCAACAGCCCCAGGCCCCCCGTAACCCCCGGGCCCCCTGACGCCCCCGTTTCCCCCATCACCACCATTCCCCCCAGCGCCGCCGTCCCCTCCATCGGCCCCGGGCCCCCCGACACCGCCGGGTCCCCCTGCACCCCCGGGTCCCCCGGCACCTCCTGGTCCACCATCTGTTCCGGGCCCCCCTTTACCACCTGGTCCGCCGGCACCCCCAGGGCCCCCTTTCACCCCAGGACCTCCTGTGGACCCAGGTCCTCCGGGACGACCAGGTGATCCGGCCTGACCTGGTCCCCCGTCCTTCCCAGCGAGCCCTGGTGCTCCGGCTGCCGCGACGGCTCCGGTGTAGTATTCTGCCCCTGGCGAACCGTTTTGTCCAGGTGTACCGGGCGCCCCGTTGCTTCCAGGACTCCCGCCAACTCCTTGTCTCCCGGGCTCTCCAGCTCTCAAAGGTCCCCCAGGGATCCCCGGTGGCCCACTACTACCAGGCATCCCATCGCCTCCCCGTCTCACAAAGCTTTCTACTTTCGGTGCCTGGGCCCCAACATCATATCCTGAAAGTTTTTTAAAAAATGGATTAAATAACCAAAAAAAAAACAAAAAACAGAAAAATTGACTAAAACAACAAAGTATAGTAGAAGTAATGGGTTGGAGAGGTTAATGAGATGTGTATTATGTATAGAACAGGAGAACACAATGGGTATCTCGTCTAGGAAACTATTAAAGTAACTGTGCTATTAGGGTATTTTTGGTATCGATACCTGAGTAGGCTACTTGTACGTCACTAATTGCTCTACACTTTGATTTTTAATTCGATCAATTCATTGTTTACCATATATATATATTTAGCGAGAGAGAGAGAGAGAGAGTGAGAGATGGGGAGTGGTAGCTCATTGGAAAGACATGGAGACAGATAGGAGAAGCTTACAGTAACAGAATGAAATCAGATTGAGAGAATCCACAAACACAGTATTTCTATAAACTTAAGGCGGGTCTCTAAGTTATATGGTGTCGTATTATATTCGTAGAATTACATGCAAATACATGTGTATTATTTTGGATGAAAAAAAAAGGAGAAAAATCACCCACCCGGAAATATCCCCCTCCCCCCCCCCCCTTCCCCCCCCCCCATTAACATCGAGGGTAAACATAACTTACTTAAGCGTAAATACTGGGAAAAGAGCATTATTAAGTAACATGTCGTATCTTAATTGCTTTTACAGTACCGGTAACAAATAATATGGCGCGGCTCAAAAATAAATCCTTTATAATTTATTTTTTTAACATTAAAAAACAAAAATAATTCAAATACAGTACTGACATTTGTCTGTGAGCTCAATAAATATGAATGTTGTAATTGCAGTACCGGTACTTAATGATGCCTGTTGCGTTAATATTTAATGTGGGTAGTATGATTATGAATTGAAGTGTGTGATGAATAATCTTTTATCTTGTAAATGATTGAGCTAGACTTACCCAGTTGCAGGGCACACAGCAGCGTCACAGTCAGGCAGACTTTAAAATCAAGTACGTTCCCCATCATGTCAAGACAGAGTACTCTTAAATTGGCAATGTTGTAAATTCAGATGCTTACTTCCCTTTTATGGAGAAAATGTCGATTTATTATTGTGTATGTTTCTTAACAAGTCCATGGACTTTAGAACAAATGGTAGCATCATATCTTGCATTAAAAAAAACCATAAAGAAAAAAAAACACCCACACACAGACAACCCTCGACCCCCCACACGCTGACAACCCTCGACACCCCTCACGCTGACAACCCTCGACCCCCCCACACGCTGACAACCTTCGACCCCCCACACGCTGACAACCCTCAACCCCCCTCACGCTGACAACCCTCGACCCCCCACACGCTGCCAACCCTCGACCCCCCACACGCTGATAACCCTCGACCTCCCACACGCTGACAACCCTCGACCTCCCACACACTGACAACCCTCGACCCCCCACAC